TATTGAGTTATGGATGTACTTGGAGAATTATTATAAAGACTGGAAGAATCCGTTATTAGCAGTTTTTTTGACAGGGATGCCTTCAATTCTCTCATTCCTTATTTGGGCAAAAAAAAATTTCTTTGCTTCTGATTGACCAACAAAATACACCAGCATAGTTTTAAACAAATAAGGGGAGTTTAGACGCTTCAGGGTTACATATAGCATTTTTCTGACGACGGATGTCAACAGTGATTATTATGAACGGTAAGGTCCACATCGCCTTGAGAACAACAGGGATTTGGACAATGATTTTCTGTGATAAAATGAAATAATTTCGAGAAATACCTGCCATTGTAGTTTATATGCTTAGTTAAATGGTGTTAAGAAGTAGAATTTGTTTATTATTATTGTTATTATTTTCACTATTATCATTATTATATTATTATTATTATTTAAATACTAGGAGCATTTTAACTACTTATACTGGTCAGGTTATTAAATGGTTACGTAAATTCATATGCCTCCTCCCCCCTTTTCATAAAAATTCGTACCCAACTTCGTAATTGCACTTGCCCCTCCCCTATTTGCATAAGACACAAGACTCCCCCTTCATCCTATAAATAATAACTCCTTCGTGAGCAGGTAAAGTAGGCATCATGTGTTTCACTTGGGCAATATCCTCATTCCCCCCCACCGCCACCCACTACGACCCATTAACCACTCAAGCAAAAAGAGATAAAATAGAGTGGCATTTTTTCCCTTAGAACAGTATAACGTGTCGTGACTAATTTCTGATCTTCATCCTACCGCAAATACGCTATTAAAGTCTACCAAACTTGACAGGGTCAATGTATTTGTCACTTACGTTACGTGCAGCAGTTCCCATTTTTATAAAGATTTTATAAAGTAAGCTGTTTAAAGTCCTTGTGACTATCCAGGTGTTATTTGTTTACATTCGATGGGTGATCTACCACCCCGTACGTGACTAATTTTTGAACAATCTTTGATCTAACCAGAAATTCCCGAAATTATTGTCCTTTTACGTCATATAAAGTCAACTTCCGCTTTTGTGTAACCTCCGTGCCCGTCTCATATTCATCTTATATTCCTAAATTACCTACAAATGCTTTTTGGGAAACTTAAGTATTTTAAAACTATACAAGAAACTCAGCTGAGATTCCCTTCTGACACTTGACAGAGAAATGTCGTTCTAAGGGAGCACGTGGGCAGCGTTACTTATTACAAAATCTTTACTACTGGTCATCAAGACTTGAGGTGCATCTTTGATTTTAATAGATGAATTGTTTGATATAGCCTGTGTACAGGCCCCCCTTCCCTCAGAGAAAAATCGGAGAAGAATCCGATTTTTTTCTGAGGAGAGGGGGTTCTGTACTCTGGCTATTGTGTGACAGCCTTCCTGAAATATACCTGACGTTTATCCCCTGTTTTAAAAATTTTTTCACAGGCTTTTTCTCGTCATCTTTTATATTTTTAAGTGGTAATCTCGGGTTTCCTTAGTCTAGACTAAAATCGTCAACCAATTGATCAGTTTCCTGGAAAATGATACCCTATTCTAGACTTAAACTCTCTGATATATACACCCTATCCCAGAGTGAACAGCTTGAAAACCATACCCCGCACCTTCACAGCGGCACATACCGATATAGCCCATATATGGAAGTACCCCCCCCTTCACCCAGGTAAACAGGGTAGTGAAATGAGCAATTTTTGTCTTAAACAGGGTTTGGGTTTGAAGGCCTCGGCGACACAGCTCCACCCAAACTTCCCTTGATTGCTCCCTCGGACAACAATTAATCTGATCTGCAGTGAGCAATGTTTATGTAGGACTTACCGTCTTAAGTCCTTTCCCAGACATTGGATAGATAAGGTTCCATTAGTGACAAGCCAAAATCTACCGTAACATTCTTTTCACACCCTCTCTGCGGAAATACCAAAATTGCATGTTTTGGATACCTTTGACCTCGATTCCCTCGAAGTTGCTGTCTAAAGGAGCACACATTATCAAAAGGAGTTGTTTCTATTTATTCGGTCCTATCTCAGGTATTTTTCAGCAAAATGATTATCAGAAAACCATTTTAGTCCTCACAAATTGTTACGCACACTACAACATAGTAATTTACCCACTTAAAATGGAATGAGTGAAATGTCTATTATCGAGATTAGTGTCAGTCAAATCTCTTTTGAATGATATCATATACGAAACACGTGCTTGAGACTAATCTATCTAAGGCCTCACGTGCGTTGAGACCTTATTCTTCGTCACGCCTATCTATTTTCTAAATGAACGATTTGGAAAACACCGCCGATCCACCTTGAACTACCAACAACTCACTGATCCCACTCCTGTCTCCTTACATTTTAATCAAGCTGGACATTCAATCAACGACGTCATTCTAATTCCACTTGAACTCATACGCAGCAACCGTGATGCAGTGAGAAAGGGAACACATCATCTCCTCTAGGAATCAATAGGCGTGACGAAGCTCACTGATATATGATACCCCCTAGTCTCCAAAACCAATCCATTGCTTTTATTGTCACATTTTCAAATTCTTATTTGAAATGGACGTTTCGCTTTATTTTCATTTTTCTTTTAGCCCCTGAAGAAGGTTTGTTTTCAAATCGAAATATTGAGCAATTTGTTTAAATATATATATTTATATAATTTGTTTTATTCTTTTGTTTGCTTCTTCGTCATCGCCTTGCCGTAAAGATCAGTTTGCCGTTTCATATTTTTCCACAGGTTTAGTTGTACTGATCTAGGTCTACAACTGGGAGATCCGGCACCACTCATTGGTTTTGTTGCTGTGGACTTGCTGACGTTTTATATCAACTGAATGCACTTACGGTGCCGTTTGTTATGGTAAACTTGAGCTTAACATAAAAAACTTTCTCTAGTGCGACCTTATCCAGTCATAACTTAAAAAGTACCATGAAGAGGTGTGGAGTTGTTGTACTAGAATTGTGTGAGCTCGTGTTACAGTGTCTAGCGAAGAAGAATGGGGGGAGGGGTGGTGGTCAGTAAAAAAACAAGCTCTGCACCTGTCCCACCCCCCCCCCCCCCCCATCCCCCCAAAAAAACCTAGGCAGGAGCCCATCAAATTTGATGGGCTCCTGACCTAGGAAGGAAACTGCAGTCGCGCCAACTTCAAAAATGTACCCATTTTTCTAATTTAATAGTTAGGCTCTCCAAAATTTTTTTAACTCATTTTCCTTGAACTTACTGAATTGTTTTTAGATGCTTGTTTTATCTTCACTTAGCCGTTTGGTAGACAATTGAAACTCATAAAATCTTCACGAACATGTTGCAATAATTTGTTGCATAAATGTCCGGTGAAAGAATAAGACTAATCGCCACCTGAATCATCGCTGAGAAAGTTTCAATTGAACTCATCCATGTCTGTTGTCATTTTTAAATGTAATCATAAACACAGCGAAGGAGCCCGAAATTGCAAAAGATATTCAAAGACGGCAAAATACCCATCGAAAGGGTGTCCGTTCCCCTCAGGATCGTTCCATGCATGGTCAGATCGTTCTAATGCAGATCGTTTCACGTGTAACCTTTGACATAATATGGAGCCTTTATGAGCCTTTTTTGAGACAATTCAGGAGACAAATTATGTGGAGGAGGAGTCGAACGTATCCCCCTATGAGATATACAGTTGACTTCCGACAACTCGAACGCCCGCTAACTCGAACCTCGCGCTTACTCGAACCAAAGTCGATTTTTGCTGGATTTGCTGGATTTGCTGTTAACCCTACAGACCCGGCCTTCAGACCTCTGATTTCTATACAATATTTACCCTCAATCGGCTGAAGTAGACGGTATGACTTTGTATGCACACAGTTACTTTAAGTGATCTAAGCAAGCTGGGGTGTTTAATCATGTGGAAGGCGTCTAAGAGATAGAGGCGTTTATTTACAAAACCGTAAAAAAAAAAAAAAAAAATCCACAAAACTAATATGCTTTCGGTTAATATATCACCACTGTTTATTAAAAGCAGACTATCCAGTTCACCCATTGAAACCTATAGGCCATTTGGAGATCCATATAGGTTTTTTAAAGCTCAAATACGATGTGTGGGAGTCCTTACTTCGATTGACCAGACTTTGAGCACCATGCAATGCGCAAACTCTAATTAATCAAGCAAGACACGGGTTAATATATCACCACTGCTTATTAAAAGCAGACTATCCAGTCCACCCATTGAAACCTATAGGCCGTTTGGAGATCCATATAGGTTTTTTAAAGCTCAAATACGATCTTTGGGAGTCCTTACTTCGAGTGACCAGACGTTGAGCACGATGCAATGCGCAAACTCTTATTAATCAAGCAAGACACTGAATAAATTGAACGAGCCTGCTCTTTTTTCCTATTTCCCAGTATTTTGGAGCAATTTTCATTTACCAATTTTTTATTTACATGTTTGGTACAAAATGTTGTTGAAAAGGCAGGTTTGAATTTGTAGTTTACAAAGCTCCTAGCTCTTACTAACCTCGCCTCTTTCTCCTTCCTAAGGAGTTCAGTGAGCTCCCTTAGTCCACCCCGGTGGAACAATTTGGGGCCTGTGAGAAGGTTAAAATGTTCTTTCTTTTAGCTTCGCTTTTTTTTTTTTGGAGTGTTTCAAGTATAGGCAAACTTTAAGGATACTCACGAGGTATCCAATAGCCTCTCACACAAACGTCCTCTGGGCTTTAGCCTGTTTCAGGCGTTTAGATAGTGGAGTGCGTCGCGAAGAGAGGAGAAAAATTATTTTTCTGCTCACAGCTCTTTGCGCCGTCCTCACTATCTGAATGCCTGGAACAGGCTATTTGGGCTTCGTTACGTGTTGCTGCCCCATGAACATGGGACAGGAAGGCGTGACGAGGCCCTAAGAAGTATGCGTGGGAGCCTAGGGCAACCGACGGTTATGACAGTTAATAATGTCCTTCCCATGGCTATAGGTAACTCCGATGATATTGAATAATACCAATTTCAGCACTGAAACACACGTACCAACTCCGCCGTATGGCCAGTACCTTACGCATGCGCACGACCATATTAACCAGGCAGTGGCAGCCATAGACAGCTGTTTCGTCTTCATTAGGAACGGCATCAGCATGGTATAGCCGGATGATATGGCACTGGGTATACAAAAGTCCTTTCCATACCGAGGAGTTGGTGTAATGCGACCCTCACTTATTTTATAGTTTACCTGCATCCTAAGCGGGAAATGTGTCACAGACGATCCCCTTTGCTCTCTGGCCACTGGAGCCATTATCACAGAAGGCCGATACTCATTCACAACTGGGATTGGAGATGGCAGGTGGCATTTACACGGACAATTGATGGGGCATTCTTGGCCAATATGGGCACTGTTAGTTTTAGATTGAAAACTGAATACTACTTGCTTTGCCAGATTACTTAAGCTATTCAGTTCCTCTTCTGTACGCTCTTCTTTAACTGAAGTGAGTCTGTATAATGGTCTTCGCTCAGAGGAAACACTCATCGTGTTATGCTCGACACCTGGAGAAGGACTGGGGTGATTCATCTAAATAAGAAAAACAAACAAAGAACAAACATTAATACTGACACATTGCATGAGAACGAACGTCAAAGCACCCGCGTAGGAACGTACTTTTTAATTGACTTTAGTTGCCTGTATTACAGACTTTCCCAATATTGCCTTATCACACGCCCACCCTGTAAATTATCTTTTGAAGTTAGCATCAGCGAAAAATTAGTGGCTTTTGTAATAAATCATTCCTCAGGTAAAACGCCATTATGCCTTTGAATACAGCAGATATCTACATAGTATTATTTTTCCTAAGGGTACGTAAATGCAATATTTTTACGTTTTTGTGGGAGGTTTATCTTATCGGGTGTAATGAAAAGTAATGTCAAGTTAAAAGTAAAACTATTTGTAAACAGGATGGTATTCATACGGTCTATGCATCTCAGAGTAATTATCTTTACATTAAGAATATAGAATTACATTAACAAACAAGAAAAAAGAAATTAGAAAGCGTCATTAAAATACAAATAGCGAAAAAAAAATGTTCAAGGATTCACGGATTGCAGTACAGAACCGATAGGATTAGGTGCACTTTTCTGATTGGTCAGAGAACCGACATAAACACCAATAAAATAACACCTTAAGCCGTAGACTAGACAAGCAGAACAGCTGTAAGGAGGCATGGATGAAAAGATAAATTTAAGGCCATCTTAATTGACCAAACAGACTAAATCAGCAATAAAAATACCGAATATGGTACCTTCTAGTCCCTTTCAAACTTTTGAGCAACCCCCCCTTCCCTCCTGCCCAGTTGCAGATCAGTTTTCGACTGCCGTCGTTCTAAGTTTATGAACTCGTGACCTTTCGTTTACATGCAACTTAATAAATCATAATCGTAAACGAGGAGGGCTACAAGTCTTACTGGAATAATATTTTCACAGTTGAACATGCAGCTGAAATCTGGTTTTTAACTGGTAAGCAAATTTGTCGAATAATATAAGGCATATTAATCTATTGTTGGATTCTTTTTGCCACGATTGCTGCTGTCAAAACAGACACTGTGCGAAACAATCCCCCACCAACCACCCACACCCAAATCCAAATACACACGACCGCCGCTGAATGACTATGTCAGTTTGCGAAAGCACATTTTAAAGGATAAGCTGATTTCCACGGCTTTTTTAAATTGCACAGTGTTAACGAAGTGCATACTGGTTTTCCCCAGTTGTTCACACAGCTAAATACAACAGGTAAAAAGACAATTCTTAGAACAGAACGTGTAAAAGCTGTTTTCATCATGGCGTCATTTTACAGTCGATTACGCTTCAGTAACCAGAGTGCTTCAGGATTTCGTTTTCTGTGCCTAAATTAGGCTTGTCACTTGGGCAAATGAATTTGAATGGGAGGAAAAGAGAAAAAATTCTAATGGTAGTTTTAAAATGACTCCATTGGCAAAAAGATCTGTTCGTTTGGTTTGAGCCATTTGCATACCGAGGGATCGCTTTGTTTAATTAACTACAGTTCATTTGTTTCAGTGTTTTGAGTCCTGGTGAACCTGAGGAGTAGTCAGCTGAATAAATTAAAGTCCAAGCGCCTGCTCTAGGTATGTACCAATTACTTAGAGACAGGTACAAATGGTAGTAAGGCTTCAATGTATTTCTTGTATTTCTGAATTCACTTCTTGGTCGCCATATTTAACGCGGTTACAGCGTGAAAACCCTGAAGACGTGCACTGCTCGATATAATACTTTATATTTAATTCTTTTTTTATTATTTGTTGAGAAATAAGGGCTGTTATTTTCCCTTCTTTTGCGATATTTCAAAATATGGAGCGAAAGGTTTCTGGAATACAATTGATGAAGCAAAGACCCGTTAAAACTTATACATTGACCACCTGTGAACTTCCTTTCAAAACGGTTTTAGCTGAAATCAGCCTACTGCAAGTGTTTTAGTAACTATTTTCTGTCATATACTAGCTTTTTTTTGACTACCAATTCGTTGGTAGATCGCTCAGTGGTAAAAAAGACTAGCAATCAAAATACATTTCTGGCTATATGACATCACGCTGGGCATTTACATTTCCAAACATAGAAAGTCTTTTCAAACGCTACTTAAAGTTGTTATTATCGAACACGGACTTTATGGTTGTTTCAATCATTAACCAAGGAAAAATTGTTTTAATTAGAAAGTGCACACTCAGATTAGTAAGCACCCCCATCCTTGCCCCTCACTTCTCATGACATATTTCGGTGCTTGTCAGAATCATACAACAGAGGTCAAAAGAAAACACACTCTTGTACGTAGGGGATAAACAGTGCATGCAGTAGTTCACGATGTGCAATGGTACAAACGTTCCGTACCTCTTAGTGATCATTGTTTAGAAAGGGTCTTACTTTAACTTCTTGAGAACTAAACTTGTTTGTTTGGAATTTTTGAAACGGAAACATAAGGATACCACTTCGCGTATCTTGAATATTATAGTACATTGTTTTGTCACGAAATCTGTTGGCAGCATTGAGTGGTGATTGGCAGTGATTGTGGTTTCGGTTGTATTTTAATGTTTCTTCGTCCGTATTTTCGATTAGTGTAATAACCATTCAAGAGTGTAGAAATACTCTGCATAGGGATGTTCAGTTCAGCTGATTTTCCCTCAATATTTTGACTAATGCTAGGTTACAGACTTCACAGATTTATGTTTACAGGAAAATGTTGCTATAGAATTAATATGAACGTTTGAGTATGATGGCCAAGTGAATCATTAGGTTTTTAAGTTAGCGACCGTCATACCAATTATGTTTAAAATGATACAGGCGATGAACCAGTAAGAGCAAAATTAAATAAATAAACAATAATAAAACAAAAGAAAAGAAAGGAAAAGAACAATTAATCAGATTAATACAATTGATAACAATTAAACAAAATACAAAAGATTTATTTAAAAAAGTAATACGGACAAGTTTGAGAAGAAGTGAGCCTAGGCAGAACTAGGTAGTGCTAGGTTTCGACAAGTATTGTTCGGTCAGTAGATGATATTTGTTTTTTTGATTCAGCTTACTCATTCAGTTCTTCAAGGTATTGTGGAATGCTTTTCCAAAGATCTATTGCCTTAAATGAAATCATCTGCTTGCCAGTATTCGTTCTAACACGAGGTTTATATAAAGTTTTGATTGGTTGCATATCTAGTATTGTAGTTATGGACATATTATATCTATGGATGATGCCCAAAATTTGAATTTGTGCTAAAGTAAATAAGTGACCCTCTGACATATTGATGCCAGACTCTTTGTTCGTATCACGTTACAGATCCTAAAAACCCTTTTCCTTCTACCATTTTATTTCGGTCTGGGTATTTCGGGGACTTTCAACTGGTCTCCCGTTTGCAGTTTAGAGTTTCGTCATTCGGAACAAGCAGGTTGTAACTGAAATATTGTGAAGTCCATTAAGCATTTATATTAACCTCGTTGTTATTTTTAGGTAGCAGATAACGAACTCGGTAACTGATCAGCGTTACGCTTTGTTTTCGTACATGTAAAAATGTTATACAACTTGCTTGCTGAAGAAATCTGATGTCTCAAACTTGCCATTTGCATATCGAAGATCATTTGGTCATGCCGTATCGCGTAATTAAGAACATTTTCTCCTCACTTCGTAGGATTGTCTGCTGGGCCTATCTGCCCCAATTCAACTCATTATTTCAACTCGCCGAGCAAGTTGCTATGTCTTATTTCAAGCATTCTCGCATTTCTATAAAGCATGTACAGCGTTGGAACTTTCTTTTTTAGTGGTAAATAATTCTCAATAATGTCTGAGTAATGAATGTCTGACCGCGAACAATGTTTCTGACATTTTAAATTTTGACATTTAGTTAAGGTCATGACAGTTACACGGGGGTTTTCCAGTCTTGAGAAAATATCCGAAAACATGTGCAAATTTCCGCACAACATTCGTGGACTAAGCTTAGCTAGATAAGCATGTGGCATTGAGTGAGCAACACTGTCAGTTCTGTGCGTTGCCTTCGAATGGTTTGCTCTATTCTTCAAGGAGTAACATGTTTTTAATCAATTCAATCGGCAAGTTGCACTGTGGAGGCTATGAGTCACGTAGGACTATCAAAATCAAACCTAGGATTTTGAGATCAATCTATTTCGAGCTTTGTAGCACTTCAGATCAATAAAGTATGCTAGTAACTAAATCAGTGAGCATTTTGTGCCAGGACATTTGGCATTACAGTGTCTACAGAACCAAAAAGACTTCTACCACACACCACTCAATCTCCCTGATCAATTTGTGTAGATTCACAATTTGGAACGTAATTCTTCTCATCTTGCTGAAAAGCTTCACTGACAGAATCACGGAAATTTTAAAAAGAAGCGATTGATCATGGTTAGAGTAAGAGGAATTGGCCATTTTCCGACAAAAAGGAAAACGAGTTGTATAAGACAAATTAATTATCTATGGCCATGGTAACTCTGGCTGCACAAAATCTTAACCTTACGTGGATCGAGATTAGTTTTGGTCGATTAATTGTGTCGTTCTCAGTTTTTGTAGAACCTAAGACGTAGGTGAAACGTAACAGACACAATTATATAATCATTATTTTACGGATTAAGTCTTTTGTCATAGGAAGTGATTGATAGACAGGGAAGTCATCTTTTCACTTTTTTTGTAAGCCTTCATTTTAGATCTCGAGAACTACAAGAATGAATCGTCAACAAAGAACGTAATAATTACGAAGCAAATTACTAGTTTATTACTTTAACTGATAACAAATGTACATTACAGATAGGTACATGGCATACATCATGACTTGCAAGTACACTCTTTCCTGCGCTTTGTTAGTGTTCATTTTGTCCGCAAAATAGCCGCGATTAGAAAAAGAGAATTTCTGAAAGTAAACCGGTTAAGAAAACGACAACAACAACTGAATATAGTTCGTTGGTTCAGTTGTATGTGGCTCAACGTGCTTTATAACTATTTGGTTCGATAGCCATTCCTCCTGATAAGCTTTCTAGTTTGATCTATATATTTACTCGTTGTAAACAAAGTCAAGAATAGATGTGGCTATCTTATGGTGTCTAATCTTTCTATTGACGGAATGGATCAGAACTGCAGCACCGCTTTCGGGGTACAATAAAAATTTTTGTTATTGTTACCGTAAAATACAGCTAGCTCTACTGGCTGCAAAACTGATGTGAAAAAATTCCACGTTACTATGGGGAATTTATGAAAAAAGATGAGTGCGGATAAGTGGAGTGAGAGTAATGTTCCAGCGTGACCTTCCTTGCTTCAACATAACTGAGACATTTTCTTGATAGTTCAGGGGAAATAATTTGATACCATGAACCCATGAATTGCAGTGGATAGACCGAAACAGTGTTCCAATGTTAGTGACTTAATTTGCAAACCTCAGTCAAATTGAAGTATTACTATTTGCAAGCCTAGGATTAGTTTTTATGAGTTTAGTGGAAAGAGACAAGAGGCATTGTCTTCTCACACAAACACAGATTACTTAATTTTAAAATTAAAAGGCAGTCTTTGATTTCCACCAAAGATCATTGCTTATGCTAACCATATTTTATGGTGGAGACATGCTACAGATGAACATGCTTCCCACTGACACAATTAACCATCAGTGATCGAGGCAGCATTATCAGTGCCTATAGACTGACAGCTGGCCTTGCGCAACAAATTAACCAGAAACTTACAGGCGTATTTCAGTTTTGTTTTGAAGTCTGTACGTAGCTATAAACTTCTGAGCGACTTTGTCGTTATGTATCTTGGTAGGTTTTGAGTTTTCTTTCATGTAAGCGAGATACATTGTGTCTATACGCAGCCTTCGAAGCGTGCTCTGAAAAGTAATAGGCCTATCGCCATTGTCATGCTACCATCATATTATTGGGAGGTTGAACCAACATACATAGCTGTAATGCCGATAACAATACGAACCTACAAGCGGAAACGCTTACTTGAATAGCCCTATAAATTTTCTTCAATAACAACAAGCATGGGCTATGCCGAGAGAAGTGCATGAATTAAATAAACTAATCGGCTGAATTTGAAGGATTTGCATCAGGAATGCCAAAAGAAAAAAAGAAAAGTGGCTCATAGGACATCATATCAGACATACGTTTAGTCCAAGGTTCAAGAAAGGAGAGATATTTATTCTGTTGGATCATGAAACTAGTCGTACAATTGGAGGCGGCCAATTTTGCAACCGATGAATTTATGAAAGAAACTTTTTCAATCGACAGAAGATCACTTTTACCAGAAGAATCTCGTTTGTAGTAGAAAACAACTAATTAATGCACTAAAATTGGCCAAGCAAAGAAAAGCTGATCAATCTTAAAATCTGAGATGAGGAAATCTTCTAGAACTGTTTTTGATGCGCACATCTTATGCGTTTTCGTGAAGAGGTATTTATCTATTATGCACTCAGGGGTACCCAACGACGGTTTCCTCTTAAATGCATTGATAACACTTATTAGGCTGTCCGGAGTACTTTTAGATGTCTAGAAATGCATTATAAGCGGCGCTATAGAATATTATTTGTATCTGTTCGGTCATCCTGGGGAAACTTGAGTCTTTTCGAAATTACAAGTGCTTTAATTATTATTTTTTGGAAAATTTTAGATGCAATTTGACCGGTTACGAAAGTGAGACATTTTCTAATGTCTCTCTTCATTGCATTTTTAAGTCCGAAAATTTTAGGTTTCGTTTTCTCTACGAAAATAGCCTGACTTGGGAAGTGAAATGTGAAAATTAAACGTGAGAAAATCGTAGGGATTCTATTAGATATTAGCTTCGAAAACTGTACATGAGTGGGAACAGTCATCTAGAAATTTTAGCCGTCCTCAAGTAATAGAAAATGCTCGGCCATATTTGCTTCTCCGAACAGATATTTCACAGTAAACAGTCGTTGGGTGCCCTTGATTCGGACCTACCAACGGAAACTCTTCCTTGAACGGTCTTTTAATTTTTCTTCAGTAACAATAAGCATGGACCTTTGCCGAGGGAAGTGCATGCAACGAATAAACTCATCGGTTGAATTTGCAGGATTTGCATCAGGAAAGCCAAAAGAAAGATAGAAAACTGGCTTACAGCACATCATATCAAACATACGTTTCTGTTGGAGCATGAAACTAAAGTTAACAGTTCATTCGTACAATTGGAGGGGGTCAATTTTGAACCCAAGTAACGTGTTCAATTTTCGTTCCGTAATGTGTATACCAAGAACTAAGTCGCAACTCTTCTCAAAATTAAAAGTTCGATGTTGAAATTCAGCTTATTTTGACCCTTGTTACGGGAATTTGTGAAGGAGCAACAATGGTCTTAGTGAGTTAAACTTGGATAAAGTAGAGTTTGTTTCAAATAATGCTTCTCTTGTTTACGTCAGGCCTTTTTACTTCGGGGATAATGATTTGTACTGGATAGATTTATTAAACAAACTGGACATGGCATGCTCCATTCAGATTTGCGTTGCTTCATTCGTGAAATTTAAGAAAGCGGGCAAAAACTGCGTTCTGGAAAGATCATGGTTTATACGTCAAATACATCAACAGATAACTTAAATCAACAGATACAAAAAATGATTCTCATCATTCACTTTCACGGACTGAGGCCACCTTCTGGCTTGCATTTAGTCGAAGCTGGCATCTCTCGTCTTTCAGTGTTTTTCAGTTTTAGCTTCGTCTGGTGTATTTCTGCTTGCGATCCATTCGTTTTTGGGCATTTTTGTTATGGGATATTTTAAGTTTTTTGATAAGAGATATTGACAAAGCTCTTAAAGAGGGCTGCATGAGATGATGCAGGATATGATTGTTGAATGCCTTATAGAAAATTTACTTCCATCGTCATTTTAATGCAATCTAATATTCGGCATTGAGGAAATGATGTGAACAGTTTTCCTAGCCATAGAATTACCCATGTTCTTCTGGAAAAATAGGCTCTTTAGGCTCGATTGCTCTATATCTTCGTCAATGGCCGGTGATCCCAGAGTTTTTCCCACGAAACACTATAAAATCAGTTTTAAGTGGAAATGTCTCAAACTATATCTCTTTAGTCGACTTTATACTTTCATATACCTAAACGAACGTTTTCTCCGGGCACGAAGACTTCATATTATTGTAAGCGCATCGAGACCACAACTGATTTATTCAACACGTTCGTCAGCTGAGGACATCTTCAGTCATCTTCCACGTTCTTGACGACTGATAGTTCATTTTGTACGACTAGAAAATCAGACGTAAGTTAGGTCCAAGGATCGACTAAGAAAGCACAGTTTTCTTAATTTCCGAAACAAGAGAGATGACTTTGAACTTTTATCGACTGATTTATGCATTTGGAAATCAGCGGCCATTTGACTCCCTTAACGACATGGCGATGAATGCAAGGGATTCATAGCTACAGAAATTCATGTTAAAGGAATCTGATTTGTATTTAGGTGAAACTATAAACTTTTGATGGATAAGGACTCTTTTCACGTTTCTGATTCGGTTATTTACTCCAGATATGACTTATTGTTTGTTTAGGCAGTTATGCAAGGCGTTAAAGACCAAACATGCATGGGGCTATTTGATTCTAAACTACAACTGTATAGAATAGAGTGAAAATAATTATTAAATCGATTTCGCTTCACTGACTCAGCCAGAAATTGGAACATGTTCCTCATGTTTGGAGCCTGTCTGCTTCCATTCAACCGTACCCATATTTTAGTCGGGTAAGCAACTTATTGTCTTATTTCAAGCATTCCACTTAATTTACCAACGTAGTTAGTTCTACAAAGCACTGCGTGGAAATGTTACTTCGAATGTATTTGCGGTGGGTTTCTCTACCGAATGAATTTGACTGCGAATTATTTATATGGCCATTTACGTAAGGTGAGGAGAGTTACACGGGGGTTATCTAATCATGGTAAAATATTATGTGCAGAACAATGTTAGTTAACTGACCAACGAAAGCTTAGCTAAGTAAGCAGAGGCACCTAGGATTTTGAGATCAACCCATGGAGTGTGCAGGTAATAGATCAGTAGTAAAACATTTGTGCGATGAAGTTTGCATTACAGTGTGTACACACTATCTCATCTACGAGATCAACTGGGTCGATTCTTTGTTTTCCGTTCGTCATTCAGAACACGAATTGGAACATAATTCACTTTTCTCTGCTAGAAAACCTCCCGGATTTTAATCCAAGTAATTTCCCTCTGATTAGGCAATTTCTGTAAAGAAGAGATAGATTATGGTTAGGTCTTTGGTAAAGAAAAGTGAGAGAAATTGGTAATGCCCCAAAGATAGAAAATGGAGGGAAAAAGACAAATTTATCTTCAAACAGGGCATGGGATTACTGAGGCACGAAATCATAATAATAGTGGACCGAGTTCGTCAGTTTTTCTCGTTCGTGTCGCCTTTATTGCGGAACCCAAAACGTGGGTGAATACTTACATTTATAGCTGTTATTTTATCACGCAAGTCCTTTGTTGGACAGTGAAGCCATTTTCAAGTTTTGGGTATGCCTCTGTTTTTTTGAACACGAGAAGAAGCATTCATTGTCAACAAAGATCGAAACTATGCTAGCTAGAGTTCTGGTTCATAACTGGTAACACAATGATATTGATCCTTAGATGACCTAAATCGATAGGCTGGGGCCACAAGCTATGCTATGCTGTTACATTTCTATTTTGTGGAAAAGATGGCTACAATTTGCAACATAAATTTTCTGAAAGTGATCTGGCTAAACAACAACAACGACTGAACCTTTCGCGGTGGCGTCACGGTTCTCCTTGGATATACCGTGGTATATGTCTGGTTGGATTGCTATTCGTCCTATATTAGCTTTGTTGGGTACTCCATGGATGTTTGGTGCAAATGGTATTGTTGGCACGTACAGTTACCTCCACTGACGGCATAATGTGAAACAGCCTTTGCCTACAATCGCGAAATTATAATAGTACGGGGCAAATAACCATAATCTAGACATCAATGTTTACTTCAAGTGATTTTGCTTTTTATCTATTTGACATTTTAAATTCCTCTGTCCATTAATCTAAAGTTCACACAAGAGAGTTTGCACATTGAATTCATCACGAATATTCTAGTTTTCCACCTTAATTGTTGAAAAGCTATCCGTTTGAAGTAAGAGAGTTTTATGTATCTGAAATCTTCTCTCAAAAATGATAGGGTAACATTTCATTACGACAAAAGATAACCTTCAGAAGTCGTACAGTTAAAGGAGACCTTTTGTCTCGGCCTTGTTTCAGATTTAAGCTGAACCGTTGCAATCTTTGCACAGCGTATAACGGGTAATATCACTTTCATTTTACTGTCTGTCCCAAAAAGTGGATCTCAATTCTTTCAACAATTCGAGGGAATGAGGCAATTTTGTAGTAGTTCAGGGATATTGATTTGAAACCATAAGTGGACCATGGGTTACAATGAATGGACTGAAAACAGAGATTCCATTTCAGTGTGACTTAAAATTAAGGCTTTAGAATGAGCAAGGCTACTGATTAGCTTTTATTTCGTAGGTTGGTAGAAATAGATCAGGCATTGTCTCTTTTAAGTTTACGCTAGCTTGTTTCGCTTTATGTTAGAATTTGAAGGCAGTCACTTATTTTGGCCGAGGATTGTGGCCTGTAAATGCAAAATAGTGAAGTCGTGCTGCAGAGGGACATGATTTTCATTGGGAGAACAATGATTGAGGCAGCATATCGGTGGTTAACTGACTGGTCTTGCAAGTCGCTTCACCTTGCTGCATACCAGCGTATTTACCTCTTTTTAAAGTTTGTGTAGCTTTAAGCCAGTATTTTCTCCTCTGAGCCATTTTTTCTTCAAAGTATCTCCGTTTCTGGTATGTTTGAGTCTTCTTCCATGCGTTCGAGATGCATTTGTGATTATTATCAACCTTCGAAGCGTGGTTAAGCTTTGAGCTTGCTTCAATCGTCAGTGTGATATTCCCTAAATATCACGGGCACCTGAAGCGATTGTAATAGAAGCACGATAATTCGCCTTAAATGGCAATACAGATCTTCTTGTACGTGGCTCATTCGGCCTAAATCATTCTAATATATTATTCCATATCAGGTTTAGGTAGACTTGTCGTTTTTGGATAAGCAAGGACACAGCCTCAGCGTGTCTTTTTTGGGGGTCAACAGATTTAACACTGAATCACACCTTATGAGCCATCTTCGCCAAGACCTCGCCAAAAAGAACGAAAACTGGCTTGTGCGTCATCGTATAAGACATAACTTTCATCGAAGGATCGGTAAAGGACAGAAATATATTAGGTTGGAGACAATAATACACTGAAGCACACTTTATGAAATCATTCTACATTTAGAAGCCGTTGTTGCACTCGATAAGCTTATGGAAGAAACGTTTCCAATTGACAGCAGATCACTTGTGCACTTAGGAAGAACAACTCACTATAACCTGTGAAGCAAAGGAAAGCTGATCAAATGTTAAGAGCTGTATGTGTTGCGGAAACCTTCCATGTTTCTCAATATACATCTTTTGGCGGCAATGGGAGAGATCGTTTCATTTCGCTTTGAATACTACCAAGAACTGTGGATCGCAATTCTTTTGCTAACAGAAAGCCTTTAGTTGATCTTACATTTATTTATTACGGGAATTTGTGAAAGCTTAAGAATGATATTAATGTCAGTGATCTTGGATGGAGTGCCGATCAGTTTTCAATGCTATCTCCTTGATATCACGCATCCTAAGGGCTCTGCGCTAAGGAACACAAATAAATGGACTCTAGAAACGTTACAACGCCCAAACTGAGACGAAAAGGATTGCACGCTGAAAGACACTAGACGAAACTAAAACTGAAAAACGAAAGACGCGAGACCAGTCTAAGTGACACAAGCATACATATTCGTAAGGTATTTCATGTAAGCCATGATCTTTGGCGAAAATCTGTATTTGCCTTCCAAGCTCAGAAATGAAGCAACACAAACCTGAGTAGGGAATGCCATTTCCAGTTTGTTGAACAAATGTATCCGGTACGTGTCAATTAAAGTAATTATCCCTGAACTTAAAAGGCGTGCTGTGGGAAGGGATGATGCAGGACAAAGACGTTATGATTCCTCTTTGCAGAACTATTTCCACCGTCATTTTGTTTCTATCTAATGAAATCTTTGGTTGGCTATTACGTTAATACACCTGAAGGTACTTTCTCTTCGGGTATGAAGAATTTTCTATTATTGCAAACATTTGATTTCTACAATTGATTTATCCGAGACTTGCTTCAGGTGACCTTCGTGTCGTTTGATATTTGCACATAAAGCGGAAAGAAGTCCAAAGATCGACTGAGGAAAGAAAGTAGTCTATTTTGTAGAAAGAGCTACACGGGCCACTTAAAGAACATCTCCTAAATGTCAAGACCTGTTTTATGTTTTATGTTACTTTACTTGCACGTCTGAAAGTCAGAGGTATTTACTCCACTTATAACCGTCTGTTTGTTGTGGCAATTGTGCAAAGCGCAGAAGGCCAGAGAATAACATAATCATTCTCAACTTCAACTGTTGGAAACAATAGATTAAAGAAATTGATTGCATTAATGATTGCAAAATCAGCAGTCTATATAATGTAGTGAACTTAAAGGACTTAGAGGTTTTTCTGTGTTTTAGCAACCAGACAAATTTGCGCGAGAATACATCTCCTTCGGTACATTTAGCGTATAAAAGAAATTTTAAAGTAATATTTGTAGTTGGACAAGTCTAAGAGAGTCATGCATCTGCACTGCTAAAGGGTTATCGATCGTAAAAGAACATGCTTTGGGATATCTTATTATGATGATAACAGTGGTTTAGAATCATTCCCATGTAATCCTTGCTTGATTTCTACGGCACTTCTGTGCATATACGTTTTTCCAAGGGTTTAAAAAGTAGCTATAAGAGTAATAACTTAATAACTTCTATTGAAGACTTGCTTACAGCTTGAAGGACGGACAGAGCCCTACAGGTCTCTTTCGCTTGGTTTCGTTGTTATTACAAATCTAGTGGTCAGTTTCACTCGTGCAATTATGGCTCTGAATGAGCTCATGAATGCACAAGAAAAGGTGCTCAGTTGACAAAAGATTATTTTTTCTAAAGAAAGACGATAAGCACTTTTCACCTTTTTCTCATGCAAGTCAGCGAATATGAATAGAATTTATGTCGGGAAGATGGGTTCTGACATCTGACTCTGGACCTGTTCAACTCTACGCTTCCTGCGTTCCTCTCAAATCTGTTTTAAGCTTGCAGGTTTTGGATTAATATTAACTGTAAATTAAAGCGTTTTTTTGATGCAATGATTTTCAGTCAAAACTTTGCATTAGGGGGGCACTACGATTGTGAAATACGAAGCAACACCAAGTGACAATTCCTTCCATTGGGCAAGGGAGTCGGAGAAGGTCAGTAATGATCACTTGATAGTTGTTCTTGTTAGTACAAAAAGTACTGAAAGTAGCTGTGGTGCTCTTAGATTCTAATACATGTTAGTCCACGTAGATTTTCCTGCTTTAGTGTCACTCTGTTCATCGCGAAAACATCATATTAAGTAATAGATCTCGTGACCCAGTCAACTAAGCTCAATATGCCTTGCGTACAACACGTAGTCAAACCTTGTTAGGGTTTTATCCTTGTTCAGGAAACTGAATGCTGCTTGAATTATTTAATTTTGGAAAATCTACTCATGGCCCTAAATCTAGCGATGGGGCAAACGAATGCTCATGATCACGTGAGGTGAACTTTTGGTGGAGCAGTGCTGTTTGGCGACAAAACACAGATGCATCGGGCCTCGAAAACTTGCGCTTCTGCAAGATAAGTCCGAAGGTATCCACATCCTCTTCTGTCTTTTGCAGTAGCAATAATTTGTGGTTATGTTGTGTTTTACTTCGCGTCCACGTTGTTTTGTCACCGTGTGATCGTTACGTCGCTGTTTGGTGTCGAATCTTGTCTCAATCATTTTTTTATGATTCTTTTAAGGTTTAGTTTCCGATGTTGGGAAAACCGAACTGTTAAAGGCTAACTGTGTGACATTAGGAACCGTATGTATTTCTGTGGATAATTCTCTGCGGTTTCATGCGCACTGAGAATTTCCGCCTGGAAAGGTCACAGAAAGAAACCGCAATCGTGCGTTGAATATTGCCTGTCACTTATTCTAACAAACGGCAGTGAGGATTAAACGACCACAAATAAAGCTTCTACAAACTTGTGTTTTGCAACACCTCGGCGTATCGAGGTGTATATTTGCTTTATTTGTTTTGGCTGCAGCATATTTTAGTTGGTTCCAAACCTTTTTCCTTTCATTAAACATTTTCATATCTGTTAAAAAATATTTCAAAACTTTTAAATAGATGAGTTTACCATTTGCAGACGGTTTTGTTTTGCGTTTTCTTTAGTACACGTGAATAACTTTTCTGAAAGTAAGGTGGCAGTTGGTGATGGCCTCACGGTTGTTTGCGGGCACAACGTTTTATGTATATAGCTTGATAGCCATTCGTCCTAATTAGCTTTCTTGGATTGTCCGTATTTTACCCTTCTTGAAAAGGTGCAAATGTGTTTGTTACAAGACTTCTTATCTTGCTTTTGACGGCTTGGTCCACATTTACTACACTACGACAGACTTTTACCTCTACTGCCTCCACAATGTGAAAGTTCCCTTGTCCACAAGTGGGAAGTAATGTTTTGCTGTCTATGCTGAAAAGTGAATCTTAGACCTTTATAGCATAAAGGGTATATAGTACTTACTTTGCGATCAAATTTGTGAAAGTATATTTGACTGATAAATAAGGTGAGAGCAATTTTCCGTCTTTCCTTTGCGCAACACATTTTTTTATGCTTTAGGGAAAATGAATTAATATCATAAGTGGCATGAATTACGGTTGATGGACTGACATTGTTCCCCTAGCTTTGTGTGAAACTTGATTTGCAAAGCCTGAATTGAGGGCAGTACTATATACAAGCCTAGTAATTATCTTGCACGAATTTAGTGGGCAGAGAGCAGGCACTGTTTATTCATGTCTGTATTGGTTAATTTTAAAATTTAAAAGCAGTCATTGATCTTCGCCCAGATAATGGCATGTTTCAGGTACAGGGAAGTAAAATCATGCTACAGATCAACACGCTTGTTACTGGAACAACCTGGAGTGAATTTGTCAGGATATCTATGGCTAGACTGACTGATCATGCACAACATATCAACCTGCAACTCTGGCTTTGTTTACAGTCTTAACCTAGCATCTGTCATCTTTCGAGTCTGTTGTCTTCAATCATTTCAGTTTGCGATATGTGCTGATTTCCCTTCCATGCGTTCAATTCCTGAAGAAGTGCTTATTTTCAGCTTTCAGAGCGTCTTACCGGAGACAATGGTGTACCTATCGTCATTTTGATAATGCTTTAATATTAGAGGAAGTCAAAACTGATATGAATAGTTGAAATAGCGATAACATTACGAATCTGGAAGCGGAAAAATACTGTTGAAATTATAAATTTAGCTTGAATAGACCTTAAATGTTATTTTAGTGGCAAGTCTCCCTATATGCAATCCAAGCCTTAAATCTTTCTTGTAAATTATTCTGTATCAGGTTTTAGCAGACATGTTGTTTATGGATAAGCAGTGACAGAGCTTCAACGTGTATATTTTTGTGGCAACTGATGTAATACAACACAACACCTCACGAGCACTAAATTATGTTAAAGGAAATAAATGAATAAATAAATAAATGAATAAATGGATGAAAATAAATAAATAAAACTCTTGGTTGATTACGTCAGATTTACATCAGAAAAGCCAAATGAGAAAAAGAAAACTTTCCTGCACGACACATATACATTGTATTGGACGTAATTTTAATTATGTTGGGGACTCGAATAGCTTAAGAACTTTATTGGTACGTTAGTGGTCATTATGGGCATCGATGAATTTATGCAAAAACTAATTCTGTTCGACAGCAGATCGCTTTTACTGAAACAATCTGATTTGTTTTGGCGGAATGGCCAAGCTGGCAAAGTTAAAGGCCTGACTGAGTTGACAAAGCTTCTGTGTTTCGGTTTCTTAATTCGCACTTCTCATCTGCGCAACACAAGAGAATTTTGTTGTCAGAGATATTTCCATTTTGCACTGTTCAAGGCTAACTGGTTGACATTAGGAACCATATGTATTTCTATCCTAATCTCCACGGAAAATGATACGGTAAAAATTTCAATCTAAAGAATGATGTTATCCCTTGGGCAAGTTATACTTTCCACACGCTTGAATTTCATCTCTTACCCAAAACCGCCTTTGTATTAGATGTAAGGTAGTTGCTGAAAGAACAACAATGATTTTAGTGAGCTGTTTGATAGAGAGAAGATCAGTTTGTAATGCATCTCTGTTGACATCAGGCATTTTAGTTCAAGGATAATGGTGTGTGTTGGACAAATTTATTCAGCCAACTGGTCAGAGCATTCGTTGTCTATTCACTTTTGTGTAGATTCATTTGTAAAATTGGAAGGCAGCCATTGATTACCGCTAACGATCATGGCTTATTCAAAAGATAGTACCAGATAACTTTCATTTAAACAGGGAAGCACTTCGAAATTTGTATCAGTTTATTCGTGCGTTTGCAAGCGATCATTATTAGCGTCTATGAGACGTTTCTGTTCGATAGGAGATCACTTTTCATCGCTTGATGTATACATTTGGAAAGTAGTGGCCATTTGATTTCCTGAGCGACCTTGTACTAGTAACTGCATGGAAAGTTTTATACCCACAGAGAGTTACCTCACTTGAGGGATTTGATTTGTGTAGAGAAATTAATGAATGCGAAAATACTGGCAAGTAAAGAACATGTATTAGATGAGGACATCCACCTTGCAAGTTTCGTATTTGCTCGTCTTAAAATCAAAGTTATTTAACTGCAAGTATCACGTATTGTTTGCTTGGGCAGTTATGCAGGGCATAAAGGCGAAAAAAGAGCAGAATTTATTTTAATATTTAATTGCCCTAAGCAATAGCATCGGTGTCGACTGACCAATACATGCACAAATCGAGTAGTCTATGCAAAGAAAATAAAAGGTCTGAGAACTGTTTCTACATTTCACATCTCAAACTCATACATCCTGGCACAATATATCATATCTTTCGGTTAATTCAACATAAGAAATAACGCTAAACTTGTTAGTTGGACAAGTCTAAGATAGGCCCTTTTATTGGTGAAGAACTACCATGAATGAAAGAAGTATTTGAAGGAAAACACGCTTCGGGATGTCGTATTACGATGAGTACCTAATTTGTAACTGCCATTTTGTTAAAAAAGATTCCCATCTAAGATTTGGTTGATTTCTTCGAGAACAATTTTTATAACACTTTTCTCCAAGGGTATAGAAAGTAGTAATAAGAGTAATCGTTTTCTTTGAAGACTAAGAAGTTGATGAACGGGGAGAGCTTTGCAAGTTTCTTGTTGGTTTCTGTATTTTTGGCAAATCTTGAAGCCAATTACACTCCCCTGGACAAGTTCAAGATTGCAAAAGAAAACGTGCACAGTTTACAGAAGGTTATGCATTTGAATATGAAACAAAAGCACCTCACACCTTTTCCTCACGAAAATCAGAACACGTTTGTATGTTAACAGAAGGTCTCTAGCATCCAACTCGCGACCTGTTGCTGTCGATTGTTTTATTTTTATATTTAGTGTATTAAAGGGTTTTCCATCCAATTATTTCATTCAAAACTTTCTGCTAGGTTGGCACCAAGAAGATGAAATACAAATCCACACCAAGTGACAGTTCTCTCTTCCATCGAGCAAAGGAGTTGAAGAAGGCCAGTCATAATTACTTACTATAACTAGTACAGATTTACAAGGGTACGGTTTGAAAGTAGCTGTGCTCCTCTAAGATGTTTTTCCACCTGTATTCAGTATCATTTTGTTTCTTGATATGGCGTTACATTCAGGATTAATCTCGTGATGCAGTCCTGCTAAAATGTACATTACGTGTAACACGCTTGTAACCTTTATTGCAGGGGCTTGAATTCATGTTCAGCAAACTACGCTACTCGCGACATTGAGTTTTGGAAGGCTCTTCGTTTTGGTCGCAAATCATTCGATTTGGCAAACTAGTGCTGATGTTTCTTCGGTGGGAACGTTCTGTGGAGTATGTTTGGCCACAAAACACATATATACAGTGGGCCTTAAAAAATTGGCGCTATCATATAAAGTTTTCGGTATGTCCCATCTCACATTTCTTTCTTTCCTATGCGGTAGCGGTAATTGTTGGCCATGCTGTCTTTTACTCCCCGTTCATGTTGTCGTATTGGCGGTGTCATCGCGAAGCCACAGTTAGGTACTGAATCTGGAATTTGTTATTCTTTTATCTTCGTTTAGAGGCTCCCTTCCGATGATCGGAAAACAGAAAACTGGACATTATCGTTATGCCGTGAACAGGATGGCGGCTCGAGGCGGTTTCATTTAAATATATTTGCCTATTGCTTGTCTTTTATTCTAACAACCGATAGCGCGGAATGTTATGACAACAAATCAAGCAATTAGGAAACTGGTCAATGCCTCAAACTAATATCAAGCAAGGCCAGACTTGTGCTGAGGGGAATTATTAAAAGAAAAATAAATGAACTAAATAATTTTCATGGTTGATTATCATACTTTTGAGTCAGGAAAGCCACGAAAAAGAAAGAAAGAAAGAAAAGTGGCTTGTTCGACGTCATACCGTAGATAAGTTAAATCCAAGAATTGAGAAAGAACAGCAATCTATTGAGATGGAAGCCGCGGCCATTATCGAGCGCTCAATGAAAAGAATGTTCTCAGCAGACCTTGAAGAGTCTGAATCGCTTATAGCAACTATTAAATGCACTTGAATTGGCCAAACAACGAAAACATGAACAATTTTACAACCTGTATGAGATGAGGAAAGCTTCCATGTTTCTGTTTCGTAATTACAGTTTATACGTTTCCGTGCAGCACAACACAAAGGAATTTTGATGTTGTAATTTTCTATTATACAATGTAGAAGACTATTATTGTTTTATAGGAGTAAACATTGATAAATTTTGTGTTCTTACGTCCACGGAAAATGGTAAGGTGAAACTGATGTAATACGTTTCACACGGTTGTCGGTTGAAGCACACCTTTTAAGCCAGAACTTTCGTTGTATTATATTAAATCTAAAGCCTTTGTCTGGTGTATTTGATCTCGCCAGTCTTTCCCGTTTGAGTCTTTCTTTTTCGTTATATGTCTAGTGTTTTGCCAGAGTTCAACAGGACTTGCGTTCGTATCTATTAGCACAGCTCTTAAAGCGGCGCGCAGTCGATGATCCAGGAGAACACCTCTTTAATGCTTAGTGGAAGAATTAAATCTATCGTCATTTTGATGCTACGTAATATTACGGGCGGTAATGCGAAAGCTTATGGCAAGAGCTCTGTTAACTTACTGCGAAAAAATAGTTAAATACTAAACTTAAATTCCATTGCTCTTCGTATATCTTCTTTGAAAACTGAAGATTCAGAGTTCATCTTTCCTACCAATCATAACATTATTTCAAAGGTGGTGGAGGTGTCTCAGTCTGTATATCTTAGTCGATTTAAAACTTCAATACACCTTTAGGTGCTTTGTATCCGGGAATGAAGACTTATTGCAAGAAAGCATCTCATAACTGATTTATCCGAGACTTGCGTCACTGAGGCAAGGCGCAAAGGCATCTTCATTATTGCATCACAAGAACGCAAAAAGTAGGTTTAAGGATCTCTTTTTCCGTTGGATTTTAGTTTAAAGAAGGAACTTAGAGGGCCGGCCTAGAGCACTTTGAATGTTAAATAGTAAAATACTTGACTTGACTTCCATTGCTCTACATATATCTTCGTTGAAGGCTGGAGATTTAGAGTTCATCTCTCAATGTTCATGTCTCAATCTGTATAACTTTAATCGATTTCAGTAAAACTTAAATACATCTTTAGGTGCTTTCTGTCCGGGTATGAGCACTTCACATTGTTGGAAAAAAGGGTTTCATGGTTAACTCATCCGCGACTTCATGCGTCATCAGGCAAGACGTAAGGTCATCTTCTTTGTTGGTGTCGCTTGACATCCACAATAACGTCAGAAAGGATCTCTAAGAAAGGACATGCAGTAGTCCTTTCCGTTGAATGCTAATTTAAATTAGGATCTTGGAGGGCCGGCCTAGAACACTTTAAATGTTTTATCGATTAATTTATGCATTAGGAAATCAGCAGCCATTTGGCTCTCTGAACGAATTTGCACTAAAAGCAAGAGCAGTCGATCTCATACCTACAGAATATCATACTACGAGAGTAATCAAATCTGTATTAAAAGAAAACTAATAAATGCGAAAATACGGAGCTCTCAAACAGCATTTTATCATTGTAAATACCTGTGTTGGATAAGAACACTTTCCACGCTTCTGTTTCTTCACTTGCACGAGTCTAAAAATCAGAGTTATCTATTCCAAGTATCATTGTTTGTTTAGGCAGTCCTTAAATGAGCAAAACACCAAAGGAGAATATAATTGATTCTAAACTTCAACTGACAGAAGAAAGAGAATGAAAATAATAATTGCATTGGTGGCGATTAACTAGCACAACCAGAACTGAACTGAACAGTCTATGCTAAGAACGGCAATGGATTCAGTACCGTTTCTACACATTTCACATCTCGAAATCAGGCATATTTGCAGTAGATATCATCTCTTTCCTTAGATTTAGCGTAAAAAATTACATTCTATTTGTAGTAGGTCTAGCCAAAGCGAGACCTCTTCACTGCTTAACGACTATTAAGAACAAAAATAATATTTAACCTTGAACATGTTTTCAAGATGTCTTGAGATTATTAACACCTAAATAACAAATGTAGCGTATATTTGGATGCAAGGCTTCTCCAAGGGAGTTGAGAGTGGCAATAAGAGTTATTGATTACATTGAAGACTTACAAGTAGCTAGAGAGCTTTGCACGTCTCTCAGTGTTATTTTAAACACTGGAGACCTTCGTAGCAACTTTCACGACTCCTCTGAATGAGATAGTGGACACACAAGAATACGTGCACAATAGGCAGAAGATTGCTTTAGGCGCATCATCATAGTAGCCGCAGGATCTAGTAAATAAAATCAGTTCAGAAAAGTGCTTGATCATTGGTCAGATTATACATGCGAAGCACAACGCAGAATATTCAATTCTTTGATTTTGGTTTTCATCTTCATTGTTCCAAGGAAGCAAGCGTTAGGGGTCTTTGATCTTCCAAAAAATGTTAAGGTGATTCCTATTAGGTCAAACCATTCAAACGTTAACCATTTCATTTCTTTAGCGATTGTTCAGTCGAAGAAGAGCCTTTACAGAGCTTTTCCTTTGTCAGATTTAAGCTAAACCGTCACAAATTTTCATGGCAGTTGGAGTCATTATTTTCATTTTTTCGTCTTTTCCATTGTATGGAATTTAGTTTTTCGTGCAGAAAGGAGCATAAGCGATCAATTTCTTGATACTTATATTACTTAGCAATAATGAAATACCATAACCTGACATGAATTGCAGGGAATGGACTAACAGTGTTCCCATTTCAGTGTGTCTTGATTAGCAACGCTTTACAAATTGAGGCACTGCTTAATATGCAAGATTCTGGCCGGTAGAGAGAATACATATTAAAATCACATCTTATACTGAAAGTTTCATTAATAGTTAAGATATGCTCCTGACAAACAGGCATGCCTCTCACTCGCAAAACCTTGAGTGACTGAAGCAACATATCTATAGTTAGATTGATTGCATAATGTGAGGACACTGGCAAACAAGCGTACCTTTCCTTTTAATTCTATATGTAGCTACACACTTCTCTTTGTCAGGTTGTGAGCCTGTCGATCTACTAGTATCTCGGTTTGCATGTATGTACTGCGAGGTGGGTTTGTATTTATTGATAGCCTTCAAAACATAACCGAAAAGAATGTGCACCGATTTGCACAAGGCAAGCGAAAAGAAAGAAGGAGAAATGGCTTAGGATCCAGAGAGTACGACAATGTATTGTTTTGGAGAGTAAAGCCGAAGCACTTTCAACCTTTTACCACTCTGTTACTTTCGATATCATTACAAATCTAGTAGCCAGTTTTACCCCTGTAATCATGGCTATTGGTGACTTTCACAGTAGCAACAATATATAAATTTTTATTTTTTATCTTTATATATATACTTTTTACAATGTAGTCGAAAAACATTTTCCACTTTTTTCTCATGGAACATAAGCGCTAATTTGTACAGTTTTATTTATTATTATTTATTTCACACAGTAATAGAAATTACAAATAATATAAGAAAAGTAGAAAAAAGAAGTGGTGAAGAGACCTATAGGAGCTTACAAGAGGTTAGGCCTCCTCGAACTACGGGCTAGAGCTGTTGATCAGTTGAAGAAAAGATGACGAAAAGTCGAAGATGGAAAGATTTATGATCGGTTTTCATATTTACTTACTTGTTAAATTCTGCGTTTCCTGCGATGTTGTCGAACGTTTTAAATTTCGAGGTTTTGCAAATCAAATCTTAATCCATGAAATGATACTCAGTTAAATGTTCTTTTCGGGTAGCATCACGAAGGTGAAATACAAAACCACACTAAGTGGCAATTCCTTTTTACCATCGGGCAAGGGAGTTGACAAAAGTCAGTAATGATTACTTGGTATTTATAAAGCAGTACGGATCTACAGACCGTACCGTTTGAAAGTAGCTGTGGTACTCTAAGATGCTTTAGCATGTTTTTCCACGTAGATTCTGCTGCTTCAGTGTGTATAGTTGTGTTTCTTGCGATCGTATTTCATTTAAAAGTAGATCCCGTGATGCATTAGAGTTAAAAAATGAGTTTAGGTGCAGCACAGAGGTAAGATTCGTTGGGGACTTTATCGGTGTTCAGCTATTGCGTTGCTCGCGTTTTAGGTTTTTGTAAGCCTTTGACCCGTAAATCATTTGTCTAGGCCAACGACTGTTGATGTTCTTGCAGTAAAACGTTCCGTGAAGCATCATTTGATTGGTGATAAAACACACAGATACATAGGGCCTCAAAAACTGGCGCTATTGCAGATTTTTAATTACGTGGTAAGGCCGACCCAAAGTTACGCCGCGTTCCTTTCTTTCTTGTGCGGTTGCGATAATTCTTCGCCATACCGTCTTTTACTCCGCCCGCTCCACGTCATTTTATCACCGTGTGATCACAAAGTTACAGTTGGGTATTGAATCTGGTTCATTATATTGTTTTTCGGTTTTCTTTTTTAGGTTTCTTCTCGATAATAGGAAATAATAAAGCTGAACATTATCCTTACGTTATAGGACGAAGGCAGATAAGTCTCCGCGATCTCATTTCGAAATATTTAACATGAAGGGCCACAGAAAAAAAGGGGATAATAGTGCGTTGAATATTGTCAGTTTCCTCTTACTCTAGCAAACGACAGCAGGGAATTTACGAACACAAATAAATCAACTAGAAAACTTTTGTTTTATTAACAGCTTGGTGTATGTCTGTGCATGTTAACAGCACATGCAGCATGCATCTCTTCGTCGCTTTCAAACCTCTTTCCTTTCCCAAATTTTAATTTGATTTTATCGTTTTGATATACTTGGAGGCTTGTAAATGCGTTTCCTGTTCCTTTTCTTTAGTACAGCCGCTGCATATCCATTCTTTTCCCACATTTTCTCATGAGTAAGATTACTGTATAGGTGTGTCTTAAGATAAAACAAAAACCACAGTGCATCATGTAGTTGTGACATAAAACTCAATTCATCGTTAGGCTAAGAATCCTTATTTCTCTCTTTACTTAGAATTCGGAATGAATACAATTATTACGGCGTTTTCCTTTTAACAAAGTAAAGATATCTAATTCCAACTAAAAAACCAACCATTCATAAGAACATTGTTTATTAAAAGCCTTCAAAGCAGGGTACATCAAGGACACCTGTCGCTTTATTTTGACTATTGGTGATGAAGTGAGTCGCGTGACTTCTAAAGAGTGCATATCGATGGTAAACCGAACCGTCGACATTCAGGAGGAGCGCTAACAACTGATTTAATGTAGTTCTATTTGGAGCATAACATACTCTTACCAAAACACAGAAAAATGGTTGGTGTAACCACAGACGGCCTAAATGAAAATCGCCCTGCTAATATCCTTTGTTCCATTTAATTTCAGAAATACCAAGTTTTATCACTTATCAGCCACAAATCCTTTAAATTCATACTGCTCGCTTACACTGTTATGTGTTTATCACAAGCTTTTGAGCCAAGCTGTCAAGCGGCTGCACACTCATGGGTTGTAAAAGCTACGAACCGGGAACGACTCAGTCTCAAGCTTATCAGTGTTTTTAGTGGTCCATTTCCGCCATTGGGAATCAAGCATACCTTATGTAAATCTAAGAATCGTTGTTTGCCTCGGTCAATCGGAATTCGTTTCATTTTACTGTGTATGGCATGAACTCGATCACAGTTCCTCCA